ATCCTTATATTGCTCTAATTTATGATATTTCTAATAGGTTACAGGGCTTCAGTCTCACTCTCTCAAGGATGCCAACTTTTCGCCGTCGGTTTGAGCAAGTTGTTAAGGTGCTACTACAAGAAGCTAGGCAGAGATCGGAATGTAATGAAAGTAGCATATCACTAGCCATCTAGTTCTTGCCCAACTGAGGTAGCTTATGTTTCTCTTAGTAGTAATAATACTTTGGTTACAAGTGTGAACCTACCCGGGCAGAGAGTTTCTGGGTTATCGTTCTGTTTTCTACATGCCATTTTATTATTTTTTCAATGGCTGGAATATTCTCCTGGACCCCAACAAGTATCAACTTTTATGGATAGGATTCAAATGAATTTAAAAGTTTGAAAGATTTTTTTTTGGGTCAATTACACTGAAAGTTCGACATCAGTTAGCTAAATCAGCCATCTTTCTCACATCATCTCAAAAGTTACAGAAAATTTAGAGAAAATTTTCCCTTGAAATCTGACCAGGCACCTTAGCTTTCATATATTCAGGCAAATAAGATGAGGAAGCCAGCAACCTGATGAAATTAACAGGAGCGCTTTGCTGGTGACTAACGAAGAACCCAAATAATTACAGAAGATGAGAGAAACTTCTGACACTATAACCTGTGCCAAACAAGTTACCAGCTATACTTTCATAACATTGCAAATACCCTTCATGAAGCAGATGAAAATGTTTCTGATGGTGATAGAAGAGGCACACTGATAGAATAGGTAGCAGTTCCAACAAAAAGAAATTTGAAGAGAGGAATTTGTTCAAGAGTAAGCTATATCCTGGGTAACCAAATGCAAAGTATTCAAAATTTCGTCACGAGTATTACTTAATAATTTTAATAATTATTTAATTTACAAGTAAACAATCATGATACCCTACCTAAGTAGAATTTTTGGCTTTGCCCCTGCGCATTGATCCTTATCGACAAATCTGATTCACTTATCCTTCCTAGCGAGTCATATAGTGAAAATTTGGCTTCGCCCCAAAAGCTGTGGAGAATCTGACAGTGCAGCATTATGAGATAAGAAAAGTTCTACTTCATGATTGATGGTGCTCGTTTCCATGGCTATGGATATCAACTTGACCCTCACTTCATAATGAGACTATTGTGTTTTATTTAGCCATTTGACTGTTACTTATTTATATGCATATATACCTATGTTTACAGAGAATATTTCTTGTCTGTTGGAACGAAGCTTCATGTCCTCTTACAACAATGTTAAATTTGCATTTGAAATTTCAGTTTATCAATTACATTTCAGTTTATCAAGTGACAGACATGATGCTATCTCTTCTTCAGTAGTAAATGTGGATGGAAGTTGCATTTACCTTTCGATTGCCTACATGAACAAGCACTTCTGAACAATATATATGTCAAAGCATAAACATGTTTTTTTGTTCTTTTTTTAAGGGAAAGAAAATGATAACAGTGTAAATGATTGCTGATGCAATTCTTCATCTTTGTGTGCCTTAGCATTCTGGAGATCTGGAGTCGACAAATCAACGGTAATCATCGGGGAAAATTGGAAACCCATCTTCATTTCAAGGATGATTGCGTGGTGACTTGTTTAATTTGTAACCTCTGTAATCCTCTAAAAAAAATTTCTCTTAGCTAGCATGTAGTTTGTGTTAGCATTCATGTATTCTATTGTTGGAGTTTATTAGTTGCTAGCATGTAATTTGTGTTGGTATTCACTTACTCTACTGCAATTTATTAGTTGCTTCTTCTTCACAAGTGGAGCATGGTGTACAATCCATGTATAACTGATACCCAATTTGTATGTGAAACTGTTCGTCTTGACTGTTTTTTTTTCTTCTTTTTTTGGGTG